GAGATGTATACTTGAGGTTACCGATTTTTTTTAATCTAGTCAAATTAACTTTTGTAGCACCAATATCGGATATGTATGTGGATGTCCGTTACATATTATCAACGCAATTATTGTATATATCCTTATCATCAGGCTTGACTCTTGGATTGCCTGAAGTCCACAATATTTGTTTCAGTTGCCACGACTGGCGGACTGGTTGGCAAACGTAGTAGACGCTGCCGCCCATATGATTTTTATTTCCTTCTATCGTAATTTATACCATATGTATATATATTGACTGGCTCGTTGGTCTAGTGGTTGTAGTAGTGCGACTGCTGATCATGAGGTCCTGGGTTCGAATCCCGGATCGGGCCAAACAAATCAGTCGCGCCAAAAAAATCAAATATTGAGTTTTTCTGTCAAGAAATTCTCAGTAACCGCCCGGAGTCAGGAAGTTCCATGTGTTGTAGAGCTAGTAGTACACTTTGGGTAAAATGAAGATAATTTTAAGACTATTGACAACAGATTTTGATTAAAATAAGGAAGACAAGACAAGTTACTGCATAATGACGTAGTAGCAACTACTTTTTTTCGGTACGCGTTAGTCTACGGCGGTTCCGGTTTGTAAGCTAGCACGTTGACCTTATATTATTTATGTTTTAGTATGAGATGTAAGCGTAAGCGAACTAGCTTCATTAAAATATTTATTTTTAGATTTTGAACATAAAAGTTTAATTAAAACTACTTGTAGAGCCGTGGCAGCTCAGGGGTTAAGCGCTCGCTGTAAATTACACAGTACGCGAGCAACGCGGATTCGATCCCCGTCTGTACCAATGAAATTGTGAATAGCAATTTTAAGTGCAAATTTACCACTTACTCGGTGGTAAAGAAAAACACCTCAAGGAAACCTGCATGTCTGAAAAATAAGAAAAAAAATATTTCGAAGGCATGTGAACTTCGCCAACACGCATTGGGGCAACGCGGCGGATATTTGCTTGCCCTAAAACCAGCACAGAAAAGAGAGGAAACTTGTCTCCAGCAGTGAGACGTATATAGGCTGTAACTTTAATTAAAATTTTATTAGGTGGTTAATAAAATTATACAATAATGGTAATTTTACTAATGGTCGGAATTCGATCGTAATTTATTATTATTTTAGGTTTGTATCAATGACTACAAATCGATATGAAATCATATCATTTATTAATTTACTTAAAATAAACACATAAATATTTTTTTTTATAGGACAGGGTGACAAACGAGCACACAGTCCACCTGATGGTAAGTGGTTTCTGTGGCCCATAGACATCTACATTTATCCTCGATTACGAATCAAAATGCAGATGCGTTGTCATCCGTGAGGACTGCTATGGAATGCCTCTTTTTAAAAAAGAGGGTCTCCGGTTCTCTACACTCACCATACGAAATACAGCAGCAATACGCTACTATTTTACGCTGATATTCTGTGAGAGCGCGGTCTTTCCCCGGTGGAGCCGACCCATTCGTGCTACTACAACTAATATAACTGCAGCATGGCTTTACGAGAAAAGAGGTAAAAATTTAAGTGGAAAGTTAAGTAGAGATGTATATCAGTAATAAGTCCTGATGTCTTAATTTAAGGTATGTATATTATATATCAAATATTGAATTCAAAATTGATCATAGAAAAATCGCTGACGCTTATAAAGATGATGTTCTTAAATAACTTTTCAACGGCAGCGGTGACGCAACGAGGCCCCTCGCAGTTCTCATTGATATGATGATTTGAGGAACAAAAAACATGTAAGATAAATTAAAATTTAGTGAACTAGCCGGTAGATGAACTATGTTAACTTTGAGCAGGAAAACTGAACAAATTCGTTGATTAAGTGTCGTTAATTATTGATAACCAAAAGATTTTTTTTAATTACTAAGCGGTTATTTTGATACCAAAATTGTAAAACCGTTAATATACCGTAAAATGAACCATTAGTTAACTATAGCAATAGATGTTACACTATTAAAACTGTATATTATTATAACATCTGGCAGTTAACCAAAATTACATTTTTTTTAAATAACAAGAACACAGAATGGGTACAAGATATAAATTATATTAACAAGAAAGTAAGGATGTTAATTTACTGTAAAGTTTAACGTCGCTTTGATTTAAAATTCGATTGTGGTTGAAGATACTCAAATAATATCTACTGACCTTAAGTAATTTTTGGTGTACATTTTTATTTTATGATATTAAGAAAAAATAATACTTTATTTTTTAGTGCTGCAGACTACTAACATTTGGTTTTCTTTATTTCCAGAGTTCGAACACATTTTTCCAACTCTTACTTGTAGTGTTATGCGTAAATTTTACAATTAGTATAATTAATTTACAATAACGATTCTTCCGCAGAGCAATAAAATTGAGAGCAATTAATTGGAAAATTAAACAATCGCAATTAATGAAATAAAATTCTCATTAGCAAATATAATTTCGATGTTATTAATTCGCTTTGGGGAAACTCTGGGGCCGTAGGTACGAGTGAAACTCGATTTGTAAACTGCCGAACACGAACAAAACGCGTCGCTTCACGCGACGGAATCAGTTTTTGTTCACCTAACACTTAATTGATTGTTGAATTGGAATTAACACACTCGTTAGGTCTCTAAATGCAATTAATCGCATACTTGTGTGTTGTTTATTAAGTTTCGTACGGTCGCATCCACCCCGGCGTGCGGCTTTTCAGCGAAATTGCGGTGAAACTGATATAATAATGACTACGCCATGTTCGAAAAAAATAAAGTAACAAAGTACTAGTAGTACTTCTATTATAAAATTAGAAAATAACAATGTGGTCTCTATATATGCGTAATATTTAAGTCAAATTTTTTATGTATGTCAAAAATATTAAATCTGATATTTATTTTTAGCAAAATTTTTGTACTTAGGTACTATCTCAAACTATGTGAATATTTTTATTGTAAGTGGCCTGTATCATCTCAAACTTCATAACACATACATATGGTGACTAATTGCTATAAGAACATAACAATAAAATAAACGAAGAACTGCTATGTGGCGCATATACCGTTATCCAGATACTTAAGTACCAAATGTAAAAAACTTAGCATGGTAATGGTTTTAGATACATTTGACGACCGTTACTCTGTCTCGACTTTGAATATTTTCAACAGAAGTGACAAAAATTCCAAATTTTATGCAAATGGTTATATATTAATGATCATATTAAATTCAATTTGATAGATGACTTTTAAAGTATTTCGGGTAAAAATGTCCCAAAAGTGTTTGTGAGACTACAGTGTTACTAAGATTTCTAACATCCCAATATCCAATTAGAATTTAAACAATATTTTTAATTTACGATTTAATTAAGAGAAGAGAAAACGGAAGTTATTGCTTGTTCACTGTGATCAAATGTAAACCACTCTAAAACAATATAAACTGATAAAGAGGAAATGGTTTTTAAAAGTCCAATATTAAATCACAAAGTAAATTAGGGGCGTACTTGCAGACCCTGTTAAAGATATTGCGTTTGCGGTGGGGACGAAATGAGATTTGTGAATAAATAAGAATTAAAATTACATAAACACACTACCTTTGATGGAAGCTCTTAATGAGAAAAGTTCGATGGTACTTTCGTTTTGAGTTAAACTTGAATGAAAATGGAAGTCGCATCGGCACGTACCTTCACGGATGGCTGTTATAAGAAAAGTCAATGTAAAGCTCTGACGAATTATAAATAAAATAATTTTGCCACCACTTAAGGCAGTCAGTTTGCGTTCGATCTCGTTCGTTTTAACTTCAGGAGCTACAAGTTAAATCGTATTAAAAGTTTTTGGCGAAGGTGATCGCGGCGTGAATCAATTTCCACTACCAGCTTGTAGTCGGCTTGTAGACAGTATTATACGGAGGGAAAGTTTCAAGCAGATTGCATTTTAGTACATCTTTTTAATTATATATTGCAGAGGACTACATTCTTTAATAACAGTCAGTTAAAAGCTTGTAAATAATTTAGAAATTTAAAAATAAATAAATCGATTAAATTAAGGTTTCGTAACATAGTTTTGTTTTAGTTTAAAATACGATACAAATAATGATTTTTTATATTAACGGGAAAACTAAACTTTACTCTAATTAAAAGTTTATAAGAATACGGATAGTAATAATTTTTTTAATATTATTACATAATTAACTATAATTTTTAATTCAAGAGTCTGTATTAGGTAAACAATTAGGACAAATACTTACATAAGATTAAAATTTTCCAACTTAAAGCCGTAGTAAACAGTTAATATCCTTAACTTACGTATACGTGCGAAGTTTAAACTTCTCAATAGTTTCGTACGATCAAAGTTAACGGAGCGAAGACCATTTGGAACAGAGAATGCATGTGAGCGTGATTATTAGGTGTTGTTTATTTATTTTGCTTGTGGGTGTGACAGGCGTTCCGCATTCGGAGTATAGAAGCCGCGATTGTTCCGTCATACAATAATCGCACGCCCGAGAGAGTTGCTATCAGATCCGCTTGTTCAAACATAAGCGGCAAGCGCTCTCTAGTAGTAGCAGAAACTAAGCGGTTGAGTGATTACGCGCGGAGCGAGTGGGCGGGAAACAGTGCTGTCGGACTTACCATGTTAGAGAGCAGCAGACGTTGATGTTTAGCGACTTGGGGGTCTAGGGCTTGGAGTGGAAAGGCTAGAGGCAACGGGAGAGGCAGCGGCAACGGGAGCGGGTGCGGGTGCGGTGCCGGCTGCAGGAACAGTGGAGGGCAGCAGGCGCACGGCGTCACGTAGGACACGCACCCAAGCTGCGGCGGGAACAGCGTGCCGGCGGCCTCCTTGAGGCCTTGCCTGCGTCTCTCACGACCGCATTCGCGGCCGACCGCCCAACTCTCGACGGCAACTAGCCGCCGATATCTCGTTACTCAACTTCCGGCTCACGGGCACCGCGTCGGCCGAAGGACGGACCGCGTGCGATTCGAATACGTAAACTTCAAAAAAGTTCGAGGAGCAAGTTTGGGATGCGAGAGAGGGCTGGGGCGGCGCGGGGAGCGGGAAAAACTGAGCGATCGGGTGAAGCGAAAAACGTCGCACAGGGCTCGCGAGTGTGTGGAGAGAGTGGCGGCGTGCACGGAGCACAAGTCGCCAAGCCGGCGTGTGGCGATGGACTGAGCGGCGAGGCAGGTGCGCGAGGCGCGCGGCGGCGCTGGGGGCGGGCCCACCTGACTCACCTGGGCGCCTGCGCCGCGCTCGCTCAGCCTCCGAGCGCTCTGCACCACCTCACCTCGATTTGCAACGCGCTGCATGACCAACGGCCACTTATCTACATATATCATAATTTTAATATCATACTATTTACATAATATATATATATATATATATATATATATATATATATATATATATATGTATATATTGCTTATACTAGACTTTAGTCTTTAAATCATTCAAGCGATGGACCAAACAAAATGGATATGTGAATTTTATGTATTAATATAGGTTATGGCGTTATTATCATACTAGATCGAAAAAGAGCATAAAAAGGCCTAAAAATATATACCACAAGAGCATATAATTACATTTGTTATAACAATTGTATCGAAAAAAGCAGCTTCCTTTATAATAAGAAACATATTTTTCTAACATCAAAAGTGTGCCTGCCAGTCATGTCAAACCCCTGAAAGTACACAATTCGTTACGGCCTTCAATCATCCGAACTGCAACCTATTATCTCGGGGTTGGCACCCCTCCGAAATTTAGTACAAAGGCATTATACATAAATACATTGTGCTAGAAAATCATAACACGCAATTATTACTTTTTTATAGAATAGGATGACAAACTGTACATCACAGTGCAGCTGATGGTAAGTGGATGCTATGCCCCATAGACATCTACATTTATCCTCGATTAAGAATCAAAATGCAGATGCGTTGTCACCCCTGAGAACTAAGATGTAATGCCTCGTTTCCAGTAAAAAGGATCTCCACTCACCATAGGAAACACAGGAGTATTAGCTGCTATTTTACGCTGGTATTTGGAGAGTTTGGTCCCACCCCGGTCGTGTAGTACCCATACGTGCTACAATAATAAAAAAAGCTACAGCGTGGTTCTACCACGTATAAAAACCTTAACCGTCGTAAATGCTTTTAAATAAAGGAACCGATTCTTTGTATGACGGAATTTCTTTAAACAATCTGCCTTTGTGATGGCATCGCATTAAAGCAACAGAATGCTAAGATAAAATATCCAGTCGCAAGTACCTAACAGTCACAAAAGCCGCTTGAGGATTATTTTGCTTAAATCTATCCCCGTGGAGTTGATAAAAATTGTATTGATCTTGATGATTGAGCTCTTCGTTAGAGGACATCAGAAGGCTCTATTCTAAGCTTATTGTCCGCTTAAGGGGTATTAGGTGCCTTTTACCGTGAAGCACTATTTACCTTTACGAAGATCTTTTCCGAATTCTTAGTGGCAGATTAGACACGTCTCGTTACGCTACTGGACAACAAAGTGGAATTAAATTGGCACTTTCGTATCAACTACTTTTCACGTTTTCCTTATAGTGGCTGCAATCTATGTTCATATTCAGTTAGACTACAATTAATGATCTTAGAATTCGTTTGGTAAGGGTAATCTAATCGAATTGAACCGGGAGATGTGCCAGCGGATTCTCTACGCATATTCATCCGAGCATAAACAGTTTATAGAAAACGTTAGGACATCGCAAAAAGTTGGGAGGGCATTTCACTATCACACATTGCTGCGTTTCTTAGAAGCTGCACTAGCTTGTTAGTCACGTGTTATGTCTGGCTTTTATGGGTGTCTATATAGTCAAACATCCTAGGCTTTTCTGGCATTTATCTTAATATGAGCACTAAGGAAGATATAACGTATTATTTTACTTACATAACTACAAGGCAACATTAATATATACGCACGGCTTATCATATAACGCTTAAATATAATCTAAATGTAACTTATCACGAAATACGGGGTAGGGAGAAATTCCTCTTGCTTCTTTAGGTCTTATATCCCGGATTTTTTTTTAGGTCCACTATTAAATGTATTATAGATAAAAAATTATATAAAAAATATAATAAAACAGTATTATATTTTTGTTTGAGTATAAGCAACAGTATGATTAAATAAAGATATCATGTAGTTAATCCATTGCCCTATTTCTTACCGTACGTGTTTCGTAACAGATGACTGTGTGCCAGACTACCGCCAAAATGACACCCTGGCCTACAGATAGATGGTGGTATAACTACCTCGTAACCAGACGTAAAATGCTCGTACCAGTGACGTGGTACAGCGATAAAGGTGTGAGAACTTAACTATAACTTACTTATACTTCTGGTTCTGTGATCGACAATCTAACTACCCAGATAATAAAACGTTATTATTAAAAGAAAGATTAATCGTGTACTGCCGGTGTAAAATACCCACTACTCCATATGTCGTAAGAGGGGACAGGTTGAAACCTATCCGGCGGAGGGCGGTAGCGTCTTCGTAATAACGAATAAAGAATAAATGTCTGTGGTTGCCAACACGCCCGCCAAGCGTGCCAACTATGGCCACGCTGACACATGTAGTTCTTAAATAAAGCTATGAAAATGCCTTACAAAAACATATACCCAAACAGACATTGAAGTTTATTTATTTGTATAAATAATACAGATGTCTCTAAAATCAATATCATTTATTAATTCACTTAAAATAAATACTAATAAATATTTTTTTTTGTAGGTTAGGGTGACAAATGAGCACACGGACCACCTGATGGTAAGCGGTTGCTGAACCCCACAGACATCTACATCTATCTTCGATTACGAATCAAAATGAAGATGCGTTGTTAGATGGAATGCCTCGTTTCCTGTAAAAAAGGGTCTTCGGTTCTCCACACTCACAATACGACGAAACACAGCAGCATTAAGCACTATTTGACGCTGGTATTCTGTGAGTGCGTGGTCCTTCCCCGGTCGAGCCGACCCATTTGTGCTACAACTATACTACTAATATAACTGCAGCATGGCTCTACTCTAAATAGAAATTAATTACGAATTAAATTATTACGAATTAACCATACATTTACGACTCCTTACATTTGTTATTACGGAACCCTTAATCCTTTGCGCTTACGTTCGGTATTAGACGACGATTAGTCTAACACAACAATCATCTCAACTAATACCGACTTACAATTATATACACCGACGGCACTGGCGTCTGTTTTCGATAGTATTAATTAATTCTTGTCATCGGTGTGTACGAGGTAAGGTAATTAGACTGTGCGGTAAACTGACATGCGTTTGGAGAGGCAGCGCTTCGCGACTGTGCACGCGCCCTTGTCTAATCCACACTATCAGTACCTTTATGAGATTACCACCTCCGTAGTGAAGAGTGACGTCAACGCACGTGTTCTCAGTTTGAAATCAATTAGTCTTTAATCTTTGAATAGTCATTGGGTGCGTTTGGCAGAAAAAAGCGCTAGCAAGCGCTTACAAGCGCTAAAATAGTTTTCGGCCAGGACACGATTGCTACTTCAGTAGCGCTGACACAATCCGCCATTTTGCTTATTTAATTTGTTTGTTTTGAAGTAGAGTTTATAAGTTGTTTTGTGCAATATTAGTTTTAAGTAATATAATGACATGAATAAACAAATACCTACATGTTATTAAAAATTCAAGATTGGTAAGTTTTAATATGAATATTTTACAAACATATATTTAAATTAGGTTAGGTTCCCCGGTTAAAACTAACATCGTGTCCTAGAGGAAAATAGCTACTTACGATTTGACAGCACTTACCGCTTACGATCGCCATTTTGCTTACAAGCGCTTGCTAGCGCTTTTTCTGCCAAACGCACCCATTGATTATATGAGAGTTAATAAATCCTATCCTCTACTTAGCATTCCATGTACCTACTGCCTATCCATCAATGCATCCAGCATTCTACTACAGATATAGACTACTTTTTATAGCATGTTCGTCTACTTGAGCCTTTTATAATTGATGCCTTTATAATATATTTTTAAATAGAGCATTTTTTCTTTCTAAGTGGGTTTAAGAGCAAGAAAATATCCAACGCGAAGTCCCAGTGCAAATTGGCGACCTTGACATATCTTAGAAATATTTTTACAAATTTCTCAGATAGAATACTTTTTTAAGTACACCACATAAATAAATAAAAAACGGATGACAACAGAGCACCAACAAAAAAATGTCACGATTATATACAGTCACAATTTACCCATATTTTGTCACTTATTGTTTTTTATGTCATAAACTTTAAAAATCGAAAAAAAAAACTACTAAGCAAAGCTGAATAAAAATATTACTGTCATTTAGCAAAAATATGTATGCTAATTCTAAATAGTAATTTAAATGAAAGAGTAAAGAATTAAAAAGAAAACGAAAGGGGTCAGGGATCACAAACTTATGAAAACTGAGCGAACGCTTCATTTTCTTTTTAATTCTTAAGCCGGCGGCTGGGTCCAGGAGACTCGCCAGGTTAATTTATCATTTGGTTATGAGATTTAATTATTTTATTGCATATATTAACATAAATAAATTGCCCTTGACCGAAACCGGAATTTTTTATTATAAGTTCAATTATACACGTTACACGTTCAAACGTTCAAACTATCACTTTCTAGTTCCGCATCGATGTTCAAATAAATACAGATTTAAATTTTTAATTTTAACATATATTAACGAAAAAAAATGAATATGCTCATAACCTATAACTGCAATTATACGTTGTGTAACTGCCTTTTTGTCAATGCGCGTAACTATAAACATGTACGAGTAGGCGCAAAACTTTTAATGTTACTAAGGTAATGTCATTTTGTTGTGTCTAGCTTAGAGTTAAAAACTAACATTGCTGCCGCAGAAAAGATATTTGTGGAAATATCGTTTTAAATTTTCAAGGAATAATTAGTTCATTGAATTTTAATGATATATTATGAATTTCAAATAAATATGTCGGTACAATACACTCGCCACCTAATGTAATTTAATTGTACTATGCCTATAACCTTCGCGCAAGTGCAAGGAATAAGTCGACAAAATATTAGAGCAATAATAGGAATAACATTTAGTACGAACAAACAAACATTAATTTTTGTATATTAGATTGAAATAACTACACTATTTAATTATAAGCTTAAGCTAACACGTTCCACATTTCCTATAAGATAGTTTTAATATAGCGCAATTTGGAATTAATAACGCGCTTCTCTGTAATGAAAATTGTATTAACACAGGTATAATCTGCATTTAGTGGTCATACTCCTATTTAGGTTTACTATTTATTGAATTTCTTCTTCTACGTTTTTGTTCATTCGATGTTAAATAA